TCGACGCATCACATCCCCACTACGCCACGCACGCACGCACGCACGCATCGCACGCAGCGCACGCACCGCACCGCTACGCACGGCAGTCGCACGCACGCTACACACACACACCACACAACACACACACAAACACTACACACAGCACACACCACCACACCAACACACACACACACACACAACACACACACACAGCACACCACCGCACACCGCACACGGAAGCACACGTACACACACATACAACACACACACACACACACACACACACACACACACACACACATCACACGACCACCAAACACATAGAAAATACACAAGTGACAGCACATTATATAAGTAAGTATATAGATATCACGTCGACGGCACTGCGCGCGCGGCCGGCCTGTGGATGATGAATGTTCAAGCGCGCGAACCGCGGGTAGGCTTGAGGCGCTACCGCGCGAGTGCTAAGGGTGCACGTTCGATCAATTCGGGCGTTTGCATGGAACATATATCCACTATGTAACAGAGCATGATAAATCAACGGTGTCTAAAACACGAGCAATATAAACCAATCGGTTGATTTATATGCTCTGTTTTGTAAACAGTTTGGTGAATATATGTCTTCTGCTGTAAATGCATGGGCAAACTTTGCTTCGGCGCATGTTGACCTGCCGGAACTGAGCCATGACTGACTTGTATATAGACGCCGTTCGTCGTACACACGTTCTTTGGGCGCATCAGACTCGTTTGTCACAGACACGAGTGCGCATGCGTAAGCAAAGTGTTTAACTCGTAGCATCTACAATGGATATATTAATATGTCCCATCTATTGAGGGACGTTAGCTCACTACTTCATGTTACTTGCCAAACCGGAATGTTAGTGGTTCTTCTACTGGTTGCATTCGACAGGATGTTATCGAAATCGTAAAGCGGGGCTTCAGCTTCAGCTGCGCAGAGCAAGCCCTAAAGGCCTGTTCGCAAGACGCTAATACAGCTGTTGCGCAGACACATTGGGTACTGGTTAGGCCTCTATTGATAGGAGCACGCATACTGCCAACTGGCCACAGACACTTTGGAACGTTTCATAATAAAATTGATTGTGAAATAACACACGAAGTGTACTTTACTACCAAAGTTCTTAGATGTTTCTTCATTTTGCCGTAATAAATTATTCACTGATAAGTTTATAGCGGCCGTTGCCAGAAGCGCTGCAATTCACTTTAGGCACTTACGGTATAGCAGATTTCTGCTGTATCATCTCGCTCGCCCAGAATTTCCCTAAGTATCAAGGAATGATGCCAAAAACCTAACCTAACCCTAAGCCCAATCCTAACCCATAACCCTTAACCCTAATCACACTTGCGTTGATTACCTAAGGAGTATAGCTTTATACTTTTGGACCTTAGAGTTAGCGGCGTTAGGCCGTTAGGGTGTTCTGATTCATTTCCTTGATATACGGAAGTCTGGGCATTCGAGTGTTGAATGAGACACAGAAATCTGCTGCATCCTTCCGTGGATACGCATAAGCGGCTGCCTAAAGTGGATTGTGCGCCCCTTCAGAAATGCTCCTCTGCCATTCGGCAACACACCGAATTATGGGACTCAAGAGAGGAGCATGCTCCAGTAATATATTTAACCATCCTATTCTCAGGGCTGCCCAATATTGGGGTGATACGTGCGAGAGTGAGATGCGAGGAAGCCGAGCTGCTATGGTGGGTGGGTGTGTGTAGGTAGCTTCTAGTAACCTCTCATAGCCGCGTACAGGTGCCGCCACGGGGGGGGGGGGCTATACGTTACTAGAAGCTATGGGGTGGGAGCTTTTTGCATTTTATAACTTTCAATTTGTGCATTTGGTGCTAAACTAAAGTTGACTGTTTTCAGATATTGTAGATTTTTTGTGCTTGTGTGCGTGAGATATTTTCAGCCGTTTGTATTCTATGAAGCAGTATTCATGCCGTTGCAGTATCTCAGCATTTTTTTTGCTGTGCGTGGCTACTCTGTCAAGTTCCACCTTTCGCGTGACACGCGTGAGATTTGGTCCGAAACAATGGCATGAAGTCTCCACGCGCTCAATGCGTGAGAGTGTGGCCAGCTCTGCATCCTCAATCACCGCTTCCTTGGACAATCATTCTCTTATCTTAACCAGTACACTTTGTACATGCGCGTGCCACACACACAACGAAAACGTCACTACTATATAAGTTTGTTCATATATATTCTCTCGCTGCTATATCTTTTCCGATAAATTTTCTGTTGTCTCTGTGCACAGCGGGGGCTTGTGCATGCGGATGGACGACGGTACTGTGTGTCTGCCAGAGCGGAGGCATTCCTTGTAATGGCATTTACAGGAATTATCGCCGTAGCGCGTGTATGTGTCTCCCTGACCTCTGTTTGACCTGCGCTCGTTGAGCTTTTGACTAAACACAACCCTGTATATATGAATACTATATTATATAGTAATTTAGTCAGAAATAGCTAGAACGAGCTAGTTTCGTCAAACAGAGGTCAGGGAGACATAGACCTTATCTGCCGAATTATCAGTAATAATATAGCCAAAAGGATGTAAGAGACATTACAGCACTTGGCTGATGAGTAAAACTATTTGGTTTATTTACATCATTTTTATATTGAATTTTCAAAGTGCCTGTGGTACCACGATGCTACTTAATTTAATTACATAATGAATTTTAGTATCATTACAATGAACATATAAGCGACACTAGTTTGCAACTAGCAGTGTCATCAACACGCCGACGCATGTACCACACATCATGTATGTTCTGTTTTGCTATATGGAAGCAAACTATTGTCATGCGGATAATGTGCCGTAACGTTAGTTAATTGCTTTTTTACAGACGGAGCCGCTATGCATGCTTGGATTGTCATGCTGTACCAAGCCTACTGCAAGTGTGTACCAGGTGAGTTCAGAAACTTTGATGGCTGGATTTCCCAGTGGTTACGAGTATGACCCGTGCTAGCAGATGGTCGAAGTCATTTCCTCGTAGTCCATAGGCTGTTAGTGCATTATGCCATTCGCTTAATTTTCGCATATCGACATTACAGCAATCCATCTATCGTACACTGTATAACCAGCTAAAATATGTGCTTATCACTCGCGCTAATGGTATTGTACGCTGCACAGGGGACACCCCGACGTGGACGGTCTGATCGTATTGTAACTGGCCCAGTAGGAACACCTTGGCCACCCTGGGACCACGCCCTACCAAACGGGTTCACCCACATGCCTTCGATTGGGCTTTCTCTCTACGGCCAGATGGAGTTGGCATTGGCGCCATTCGCTCTGGGAAAAGTTGCGGCCATACTAGGTGTGAATTGCACGAAGCGGTTACAAGAAGGAAGTCGGGGATCAGCAGCTCTTTCTAAACCAAGCACTATACAACCATGATACTATCCTATATATATACAGTGGTTAACAATGAATTTTTGAACAAGGACTCGCCCTACCCTCATAAAGATAGGCTCGACTCGCACTCGGTCGCAGCCCTGATGGGAGGGCTGCCGTCTGAGCTGTCAAAATTTACAGGGCTCATTAATGCAATAACGCATGCTGGACTTTATTTTTTTCGATTCATTGCAGTTTGCAACGGTCTCGCCAATTTTCTCTCTGGCATTAGCTGAAAAAATCACAGTAATTCATGCCGAGGCGCCTCGTGCTCTGCGAACAAACTAGTTAGCAGGGCACAATTTTCAGGGAGCACACGGAACTCCTGATTTCATGTCAAATCAGGGAGTCCGACCAGTAAATCCGGCGAGTATTTGATTCCGGGACTGCCCAGTTAATTCCGGCCCTGGTTTATAGTATAAGTACATCGTTTAACTGAAGATGTATGACTCCAACTTCATTAAACAAATATGAATGAAACAGTATAGGGATAATAATGACGGAGTGTACGTCACCCTATGACTGCCTGACAACATTCCATATTAAGCGACAGAACTTAATTTGATTTTGATTTATTTATCATATTTGTGCTGGGGGTATTGTGGTTATTGTACGTTAGTTATACATTTAAATCTCATTTGTTGAGTTAGCTCAATAAAACCACTGGCCGTTCGAGAAGATAGGTATTGTTGAAATTGTGTCCTATTTCTCTTCGCTTAAATGCAATCGTTTAAAATTCGATGATCTTTTTCGGGCTGCAGCATTAATAAACACAAGGTTCATTTTTTTAATAGTAGCGAGACACTACAACAGTCCCCGACGTTGCGCGCTCACCGCGTCTCGCATTTCGTCTCACAGGTTGCTGATATCGGCAGCGGATAGTCGCGACCTCGCGCTGAGGCTGGCGGACTCCTACCCGTGCTCTCGTTCAGCTGCCTCGACTTCTCCCAGGGGGCGGTCGCGTTACGGCGGCGCCGCTGCTCTTTCGCGGACCGTACCGTGCGGGTCAGCGCCCCAGGCGCGCGCGCCCGGGAGTCAGCATGGCGCGCGCGAGCGTCGTCTAAACAGCGTTGCCTGGGTGGCGCTCGCGTGTCACCAGTCGTGCGACGCCGCACTGCCTGCGTACGTTCGACGCGGTGCTTCCACCTTGTTGACGGGACAACGGGAACATCCGAGCTCGGTGTGTAAGGACGCGTGGCGGCGGGGGACCCCCCGCTTCGTCGCGCTGCGCATGTTTGGCGACCGGTGCGCGAGGGTCTGGACGACCTGGTGGCAGGCCTGCATCATGTTCAGGTCGAAGGACCCTGGAGATGCGGTCCCCCTGCTGGAGGGATGTTTGCGAAGACGACTCGGCGGGCTGGTGGCGCCGGCGTTTCGTTTCTCGCTGTTCGTGGCGGCAGCGTTAGAGCGGCACTAGAGTACTGCATTGTACGAGCTTGAGGAAAAGCTGACGTCGTAATCCCCCCACCACCCGTGTGAACAGCCGCTGTTACTTTTAATTAAGACACTAAAATGACGTGGTGGAGTTATTTGATTATACAAGGATAATTTAAATGCCGCTGGATCAGTGTTTATTGCTAGGTATTTGTTATGTATTAAAAATATTTCTTGCAAGGAAAAATATTCTATGGCGTTCGCGAGTAGTTTCACCTTTAAATGCACAGCATCTTTGGTTGCTGTTCGGGTTTTACTCAACTTTTCCGTACATATGATACCACAGGTGTGTTCTATATATAATAGATATACCAGGGACAAAATATTTTTTTTTTGACGGGAGCGCTTTTTTCAATGTTCTGTAGTGGGAATAATAGACTCATCATAAATTTATACGGGGAGTATTTTGGCCTCACTAGGAGCTGATTTCGGAGGTTTTGATTGAGCCGAATCCGCTCATCGCTTTCCCGCGCTTTATTTTACCTCTTTAGTTCTGTTGCTATATCATATTACATACATTCAACACATGCAACAAGTAACAAATACAATTTTAACAACCAAAGGTTAGTTTATACTCACTACTTCTTACATTATTGATTTAATCGTATCGATATCTTATTCTTTCATTCTGTTGTCACCAAATAATGTTCACCACTGACCTCATATAAGTTTTTACATAGTTTTTACATTACTCTATTGGTACGATTCATCTTACTGTGGGTCAACTGTCAAACTGAGTGCTCTTGCCGCTGCGCTGTCTCGCTCTTGGTGAATGCATCGTCGATATCAGGTCAAACAGAGGTCAGGGAGACATAGACCTTATCTGCGAAATTATCAGTAATAATATAGGCAAAAGAGAGTAAGGAGACATTTAAGACTGGTAGTATTAGTAAAAACATTTTGTGTTTATTTACAATCATTTTATTATTGAAATTTTCAAAGTGCCTGTGGTACCACGATGCTATTAATTAATTACTAATAATTTTAGTATCATTACAATGAACATAAGCGAACTAGTTGCAACTAGCATGCATCAACACGGACGCATGTACACACACATGTATGTTCTTGCTATATGAAGAAACTATTTCATGCCGGAAATCCGTAACGTGTAATCGTTTTAGACGGGTGGATGGACTGTACACATTACTCAGCCCTACTCAATTGTACAGTGATTCAGAAACTGATGCTGGATCAGGGTTACGATATACCCGTGTACAGATTGTGTGCATTATGCCATTCCTTAATTCGCAATGACATACAGCATCCATCTATCGATACACTGTATAACCAGAGGTCTGACACTGACAGCTAGACTGACAGTCTTCATAATGATAATCACTCACGTGTATGAGAACAGGACGTGGCTGAACGGCATCTGATTATCAGACTGATAGCACGGTAGTGATTATCAAATGTTCCTTGCCGGGTAACATTAATATAACAATGTTATTATATACAGCTCGGGTGTTCCATACCCTAAATATGTGCTTATAATGCTAATGGTATGTAACGCTGCACAGGGGGACAGCCACGTGATCGTCTGACGTATGCCAACCTGGCAGAGAAACCTGCCTGGGACACGCACTACAAACGTTCACCCACATCCTTCGATTGGCTTCTCTCCTACGACCAGATGGAGTTGGCATTGGCGCCATTCCTCCAGGGAAAAGTTGGCCAACAGGTGTGAATGCACAAGCGTTAAAGGAAGGAAGTCATATCGCAACTCTTTCTAAACAAACTAATACAAAACCATGATATATATATATATACAGGGGTAGAAATGAACTTTTGAACAAGGACTCCCTACCCTCAAAAAGAGCGAGTCCGCAGCAAAATGAGGGAGGCTGCAGTCTGAGGTTCAAAATTAAAGGTATTAACAATAACGCATGTGCTTATTTTTAAGATTCATGCAGTTGCACGTCTGCCAAATTTTCTGTGGACATTAGCTGAAAAAATACAATAATTCTGCGAGGCCGTGCTCTGGAACAAACTAGTTAGCATGGCACAATT